TAGTGACTTTGACTACCAAGTGGGACACATGTGTCCCACCAGGAGTCAAAGGGTAAAGCCGTTTACCATCAAACGGATGCAGTTCACAGAACCGAGTTCAAGTACTCTGTAGACGGCTACCGTGGGCGAAATCTGGCTAGGTCCCTTCAACGCAAAAATGCCACGCCTCGGGGCCTTATTGTTGAAGGCCTAGCCTCCTTTTACGGTAGCCAGATTCCCCACAAACCTCGGCGATCTCGATGGTAAAAGATCAATACTATCAGTCACATCCATTTAGTATTGAAGAGTACCTTTTTGTTGCTTAACTCGTACAAAAAAAGCTGCGTTCAGGTCCTGGCGTGCCGATTCAGGACGAAGAGGCTATGATCCAGATGGTCGATGGAGTTCTGGCGGACATGGACATCAATGGCGATGGCTACATCGAGTTCGCGGAATACATGAAGAAAACTGGAAAATCGGCACGGTCTTCGTAACCTCAATACCTCAATACTACCGTATCCAGCGGATCATTACTCGATTAAAGTGAATACATTACTTGTATATAAAACTATGTGATAAATTGTCCTTTACTTGCTTTTTTTGACCGGAAAATTATTTCAAAGCATTACAACCGTAAAACAATACCCTAATCATATCGCTCAATTTATCAGCTAAAGTGAGATGACGTGGCCCATATCTTACCTGAATGCTTGATATTTATTAGGCAGAACATTTTCCGATCAGTATCTCTTGTAATGGCCAAGCAAGCTGCGGCATTCATTTGCCTCCTATGTGGTAAGCGTTATATTGCTCTTAGGCAAGAGGGAGCGGGGTGGGGAGCGGAGGGGGGGGAGGGGGGGTAAATGAGAAAGAACTCACAAGATGATGGTGAACGTGTATCAGAAGGTTCGTATAAGTGACTATGTCTTTATAAATAGACGCTCACGTCCCTAAATGAAACATCGAAGTGAGCCCCTGACAGAACTTGAGCCTATGCCTTAAAAACGGGAAGGGATTCTGCGGAGTAACTGAGCAATCTTTGTTCTCCTTGGTGTTTCTCCTTTCTGCTGGGCGTGGTCGTATCACCTACCAGCGGTTGTTAGATGTCCCGTTTTGAATGTCCCCCCTAAAGCCATGAGCGCCAAAATGTCCTTACTGTTCGTCTTCGCGCGACCGCAGCCTCGTTGTGTTTGGTCCTAGATGTGCCGAGCAGCGCTGACTCACTATAACTTTCAGCTAATCATTTTGTAAAGTAGCGTTCAGAGTTGGCGATCGTACATGCGATTAGGTGACTAGGTGATGAGGGATCATTCAGACGAAAATGTACGTATCGATCAAGGCGAGTAAGCGATAGGTAATAGAAAAAGAATACGTATCGATTAGTTAGCGATGCCTAATTGCCAACTCGCCTACTCGCCTAATCACCTAATCGCCTAATCGCCTAATCGTACGTACGATCGCCAACTCTGAAAGTGCCTTATTGTTAGACCCGCTGAGCACAGTCAATAGCGACTAATCAATGGTGAGACCTCCTGCAGCCTCCGTCGGCGTGTTTCATTAGCAAAATGCCAGTTTTCAGCTGTTGTGATGGCTGCCGATAGTAGAAGGCAGGCGCATATCCTTAGGGGTACATGAAGTGAGTAAGGCAGTTACAGAACTTGGGATTGAGCCTTAGGAAAGGGAAGGGATTCTGGGGGAAGACATGGGCGAGCTTTGTTCTCACCGCCGATTCTTCTCTCTTTTGGGCTTAGTCCTAGTGTTATCTTCCAGGGTTTTTTCAATACTCGGTATTGAGAGTCCCCCTAAGGTCATGAGTGCCAGAAAACAATCACCTGTATTCAAAATTCGCCTCTTCGGTCGAATCTGCAGTGGGTCGAATCTCTCAATCAGCATCATGATCTGAAATCATCAATGGCATCAGAAATCATACTTAAAGGCAGCGATTACGATAGGTTCAAGAAGGGTTTAGAGGAGACGGGGGTGCTCAATGGTACGTCGGTGGCGAAAAAAGCGGAGAAATCCGTCAAAAAACGCAAAATGGGACCCCTTTTTTGGCCGTTGGTTTTCACTCATGAACAGGTGACAGCTCAGAAAGCGGGCGTATGAACGAGTTCAGTGCAACGCGTTTGGTATCACCATTCCTGTTCATGAGTGGACTTGGGCGAGCTGTTTGCTGTTGGCTTTTCATTTTGGAAGATCATTTCCCTTCTAGCGGCTGTATCTTCCAACTTGCCCATGTAATGCCTTATCAATCAAAACACTATGCTTGTTGGCATGATGGCGGCACGTCCGAACAACCTTTTTCTTTACCGCCGCTCATCCATGATCGAAAATGAACGGGCAATTAGGGGGAGGGGGTACTGCTTTGCGTATTCTTGACACATTTCTCTGCTTTTTTCGCCATTAGTGTACATTGAACACCATCACGTCCTCTCTAGACCTCTCCAGGATCTATCGTAATCTCTGCCTTTGACACTTTTCACTTTTTGAAGGGAACTGTAAAATGTGGCGAGTGTGCGTAAATCAAGGTTTACGGCTGCTCTTGGTCTGAAGCAGGATCGACCGATCGTCCTCGAAACGACTCCACGATCGCCTCCCAGTTGTGTCGTTAGACTGGTTCGTCTTAACACTGTGGAACTCCGTCGCCAAAACTTCAACAATGCGGCGAACAGAGAGGAGGGCGAGGGTTCAAATATTTGAAATTCAGAAATTTTGTAGAGGAATTCCCAAGACAACTCCCATTCAAATGTACTTGAATATATGCTTCTCCCTTTCAAACCACTTAATATGACACATGGTGGGACAATAAGCGGTTGACCGTGATTGGAACGCATGCAATGCCCTAGCGAGCGACTACTTTTACATGGACAGCCTTCAGGGCCGGATAAGGCCGACGTCATAGTTTGCGAATCGAGCGATTCGCTAGCGAGTCCAACGATGTACCAGCGAGCCAGGGTGAATAACGGTCGAGGAAATTCCTCGACCATAGCTCTCTACCATGCGAGAGTAGTGCCGAGAGTGAACATCCGCGCGGAGAGCACAGACGGCACGGCATGGCGAGTGTGAATGTCCGCGCGAGAGATCGTCTCTGATCGGGCAGAGAATCCTCGACGTGCCGTTGAGGAATCCTCAAGCGATATTCACCCTGCCGCGACTTCAATAGCGGCTACCCAACGTTTAAAGGAAGGCTCACCACTTTCCAAACAGTGTCACGTGACAGTGGACCCTTTTGAAAGTGGCGGGACTTGACAGTGGACACTGTTTGAAAGTGGCGGGCTTTCCTTTGAACGTTGGGTCCCGCCACTATTGAGTCGCTGGTACAACGTTCGACTCGCTGGTGCATCGGTCGATTCGCTGGCGCAACGCTCGGATCGATTCGGCAGCGATTCGGTAGCGTATCGCTGCATTCGGCCAAGCTATGATCACATCAACTCACTTGAACCTTAGATGTTATTGAAATTCAAATTTTCAGGCTGACTGAAAATATTTACGGCAAGGGCTTACGTTACCACACCCGTTACATTCTGAACGTACTATACAACACGGATAAAGGGCCTTTGAAACAATTCTAGGATGAAAAGCTTTAAATTTCAGCCGTCGTTCGGGTTGCATGTAATCAACACTTCGGCCTAGGGAGTAATGCTCATGATGAAAGGTGAAATCGATTTCAGAAGAATTTCGGCGACGTTTTATTTATTTTCTGAATAATTTCAGCCATATAAAGCAACATTTGCAAAACAAGATTAACGTGAGCGAGTTATCACCGGAACAGCAGAGGTAACGAATAACATACACTGTTTCTGGAAACCAGATGCTCGGCGAGTGCAGACCACACAACACAAATGACGGCGGCCTCCTCAAAACGTTAATGTTTTGTGCCAATGAAGTGATAAGCCGAGATGCATTCTATCAGATCCCACTTATTGGTGTCATTTATTACAACTACAATCATTTTCTAACTATCAGTTATCACTATGAATCATTACCAGATAAATAAATAATAAATAAATAGACTTGCCTGGAGACTGTCCTCATTTGTGGTGTTTGGTCTGCACTCGACGCGCATCTGGTTCTTGGAAGTAGAGTGGAGTGTTTGTTGCTGGCTTGTTTCTTGCCTCCATTACTGATTGTCTTTCCGGTACCTTTTGAGAGCTTCTTCAAGGATTTGTTAGAACACAATTCCATTATGATCTATAAACACAATTTTAAGCGGCCTTGGTTCAAGTAGTCTTCGAGGAGTTCACTTCCATATCCAGAGCACAGGAAGGTCAAAATGTCCGTGATTAGTCTGAGTAGTCCGTACAACGAAATTCTCTACGATCCTGGATAACCGCATCTTAGAGACAACCTGTCAAGTGATCGGGTGAGCCAGGTCGAGAGAAATACAAAACATATATCGGCCAGAAACGTAGCCCCCCCCCCCACAGTGGGCGTGGCGTGCATCGAAATGAGCGGTACTGACGACCAAGATTTCAAATTAGATTCCAAAACAGCCCAGAAACTGGGGAAAATGGGTAAGGTGTGCATTGGTAAGCCAGATCGAATTAGGGAGACCCACCCCCGGTGGGCGGGGCGTTCTCTAAAAAAGCAGTGCTTTATGAAAAATTTCATAACTCGGTTGGGAGAAAGCCTACAGAGCAGAAAACAAATTGGTGTAGGGAGCAAGGTGGTAGATGCCGGTAAGGAAAGGAGGCCAACTGCTATTGATGGGAGGGCATGCAACAAAGTGGGCGGAGCTTTCCGCCAGATTTCTAGGTCGGTTCTGAGAAGTTCCAGAGACCGGGAAAAAGTAGATGAAGGGAACGAAGTGAATTTCTGATGGTGTGAGGAGCATGCACCGAAAAAAAGCGGGGTTAGTCGTCAAACATAATTCGGCCTAGAGACAGACCTTTACAGACGGAGTTTCGACGAAGAATGTTTTGAAATTGTAATATTTTTAGAATTTCAAAAAAAAACTTTATTCTGTCCTGTGGTAAAGTATCGTGTCCTACTGGATTGGATGAGACTTCATGAACTGACAAAATTACAATACCACTACAAAACCAGATGTTTAAGATTCCACTACTTCATGATGAGTGATTTGAACAAAGACAGCATGATTGACGGCACCGAGATTCTCAAATTTCTCACCCATGAGCATGACGGCTTCAAAAGTGCGTTTTTTTTAGATCTTCTTTATAACTGTTCATAATTAAACCATTATCTGCGCAAGGGCTTGTGCTCTTCAGCTATTGTTCAAAGCTCATTATGTGAACGATTAGCTAGTAGGCTAGAAGGGGAAGAATGTGCATCGATGAGGTGAGTAGGCGATTATTCCGGTTTCATACTTCGCGAATCCGTGGATTCGCCAGCGAATTTGCGGACTCGCGATGTCTGACACCGATCTTAAGCGATCGCTTAGTGGGCGGGCCAGTTGATCAATACGTATGCAATCTTAGGTAATATACGTAATTTTGCGAATCGAGCGATTCGCCAGCCTTGACGCGACCGCGGA